GGTAGAATATTGATGCCTATTGTCAAGTTGCTTAAGTTGCAGTATAGTAGTATATTTTTTTATATTTTGTCAATTTTTTTTACACACTAGCTTATCCTTGTGTATTTTTTTGTGTGATTGGATTATGATGATCGTGTTTATATAGGAGCAGAGCACAGTTTGTTGGAGACAAGTTGTTGTGTTGTAAGGCCATGTAGGGAGGATTACATTTTGTATTTTGTTGGGTCACTTTGACGTAACTAGATGTTTAGTTGTTGTTTGACCAACACTTATGTTTTTTATTTTTAGAACTGGATAATTGTACATATTTACATGATTGCATTATTGGTATCAAAGCCAAGGTCATGAGTTCGATACCCAGCAAGGCAATTGCTGAGGGGGAGATTGTTGCGGGTTGCATCAATTGTCCCGTGGCGGAGGCTAGGTGGGCCAAGTCACTGTCGAATCATGGCGCTTGGGCTGCTGCGCTCTTAAGTAAAAAGAGTTGCGCCTTGGCTATAAGCTATAGCTTTTGGCCTAGTGGTAAGCGCTCGATCCAACAACTGGTATCAGAGCCATTTAGATCCACTTTAAATGGGCCACCCACCATTGATGCATGTGCCATAGGCATGAGGGGGTGTATTGGGAAAAAATCCAAGTCCCGCCTATCCTAGATCATTAAAAAGGGCCACCCACCATTTATCCACGTACCAAACCCAATAGTGCTGGACGTGAGGGGGTGTATTGGGAAAAACCCAAGTCCCACATCGACTAGAGATTAGGCAATTGAATAGTATATAAGTAGAAAGCAACTTTCACCTTACAAGCCGGTTTTGTAGGGTTGAGTTAAGCTCCACTATTCTAACATGCATACTTTTCAGATTTTACACGTGTGGTGCATTTTTTTCTATTGTTAGTATGTGATTTCGTAAAGTGAAAAGATCATGACAAATCATTATAATATAGGTTGATAAGTATTATATTGTTATGTAAGTATTTATAAAATGTCTCAATTAAAAAAAATAAAAAATATTATCTAATCATTATAACAGTAAAATAAAATTTTAAGAACTTATTATGTCAGTAATATATTAACACTATACATATTAAAATTATTTAAAAAGAAAATCACTAGTCATCATTTACTTATTTTTAGTTTAAAATTAAGTATTAAAATTAGAGAAAAAAAAATACGTCTCCCTAATAAATTTTTTTTAAAACAAAAAAGTTTCCTAAAAAAAAACTCACGATACACAATGAAAGTATGTGAGGTATGAGAGTCACGGTGAATTTTGGGAAAGAAACAAAAATTAAATAAAAGATATGCACACTCAATATGCTTTGACCTTTCTATGTACCAAAAAAAATATGCTTTGAACTTAATGGGATTTGGAGGTAAAGTTTTTCATGTTTTGCATGAATTATTCCTATAAAGTATATTGAAAAGTCTAAGAAAATAAGTTAAAAATATGTTATATTCCAATTATAAAATATTTTTATAAGCTGACAAATACTTATAGTATTTAGATAAACTCAAATACATTATTCACATGCTCTTCTAATTCAGACGTAAATCAATTAATGTTATAATTTTTTAACGTAATAGCTAGTGAACATGTATTACAATGAATCATGGAAGTTTTGCTATAGTTAATATCTTCATGTTGTAGCTCGGATTTTGAGCTACAAATTTAGAATATAATGGAATACAAGATAAAAGTATTTTTAAAAATTTTCCATTAAAAATAAATAATTTTTTAAATACTTATAAATTTGTATTTAAACAAACTCTTAATTGAATATTGACTTTGTTTGCTTTTAATGTCTAATATGCACATAATTGATATGATTGTGTTCAAGATGTTCATAATCACGTTGTTATATGTCTAGCTTTTAACAAAGTCATTTATAAAATATTTGGATTCTCATCCTCTTTGAAGCAATCAACAATAACTTTTTCATCAAAATCTATTTTGGATTTTTGTTTATCCATATTTGTGATTTTAGCTCTCATTATTAGTTGTCTCTCCATGTTCATTAGAGTGAATGATATATGTATTAAATTATATTTATTGTATGAGTAAATTACACTTACATTCTCATATTTTTTAAAATTTATGCTCGATACTCCTTTATTTTTTAGACTTACAGAAAAACTTTTTAAAAGTTGAAATTTTTTTACATTATCTCATCTCAAATCACAAGCAATATCAAATTTGTTAACATATTCTTATTACGTGACTTACGCATGACTTTTAATAATTTTTTTCTTCTAAAAATACTCCTCACCTTTTCTAAAAAAGTCTCTGTATCTGATTTAATAGATTGAATTTTATTTATATCTAAATATATGTTTGATCAAATTACGTCGAAACGAGTTCAGACGCTACTCACAAATATTGATTTATTTGTTATTCCTATAATCACACACACACATACATATAAGGAGGGATACATTATCTCTAAAAGTAGGTTTATCTAGACTGATTTCATTTAATAACTCGTATTTTTACATAAAATTTTAACAATTTAACCATTAATTTAAAAATTATTAATACATAGATTAAGTTTGCACATTTTTATAAAATTTGAAAATCATTTGATATTTCATTTTATTAATTCAAATAAATGGATAATTATAAATTAACGAAATGAAATATCAAATAATTTTTAAATTTTATAAAAATTTATAAACTTGATATATGTATTAAAAAATTTAAAATTAACAATTAAATTATTAAAATATAATATAAAATATAAATTATTGAATAAAATAATATGTAGAAAGAGTTATAAAATCATAAGAAATCATAAGGCGTTAGAGTTAATTAGACTTTTCCTCCTTAAGACATGTTTATAATATTTTTATCCCGCCTCTAATTTTGAAATATAGTCTCTTTTTTAAAGATGTTTATATTTTTCAAAAAAATTTCCAAATAAAGCATACAGCTTGTGACTCGTGAGTAAATAAATTTAGGTCTTTTTAAATATTGATGAGAGTTAGGTTGAATGACACGACAGCAACCAAGACCTTTTCCCTTTTAAGGAATTATTAAAGACCAAAAGAGTGGTTGCATGATTATCTTACCAACCTCAATTTATGGCGGCCATTTTAAACAATACATGACACTACTTTCATCTTCGCATCCAATTTAAAATAATTATTTATCTTTTATATAAAATATAATTTATATTATTTATTTTTATATTATAATAATTTTAATTAAAATATATTATCAAAATTTAATAAAATACATAATCATAAATTATTTAAAAACATACCATCTATTTAGTTAGAAAAAAAAATCAGTTATAAAATATATTATTAAAAAATTTATTTTAATTATTTAAAAAATATGAATATTAATTAGGAAGGAAAATATATAAGATAAATTTTGATATATATATTGAACAAATTTATTATTTATCAATTAAATTAATTAATTAATTTAAATTTTTTAATGATTAAGTAGTTAAGTCTTATTTATAAGAATAGAGATAATATATTTAAAAGCAATTATATAATAATAATAATTTTTTTCTTTAACACAAAAATGTGTACAAAGCAACTGGTCAAATATGCCCTTGGGCCAAGTAACAAAGTTTAGTAGAATAGGCAGATAACTCAACCAAATATCTAGGTTGAGTAAGCATGTTGTGAGTTTGATTCATGACCATGTGTATGAAAAAATAATTTATTGAGAGAGAAAATATATTTTAAATTATCTTTGGGTAAAAAGAAAAAAGAAATAGGACATAAAAAAGTAGAATAAAAAGTAGAAGAGAAATAAGAAAAAGCTGAATTTCTCTATACTTGTTTGGTTAGATAGAAAAGTCAAGACAGAAAATAATTTTAATTTGTAAAGACATATTTATCCTTTAAAAATTTTCTTGTAACAATATATAAAAATAAATTATGTATAGTTAATCTTGTGAGTATTATATTTTTACTACCTTTAATTCTTATATTAAAATATAAAATAAATTGTAATTTATTTATTTGAGAGAGAAGTATTGCACTGTTTTCCTCTTATATTAAAACAATATAATTTAATATATTTAACTCAACAACATTAAAGAATATTCTTTATAAGGTTTTAAAATATATTTTTAATTACAATATATGCTAAATATTTTTAATTTACTAAGTTATCATTTACTCACTTAATAAATATTGTTTATAATATATAGTTAAATTTAAATAATCAAAGATAAATTATTAAAATAATACTTAAGAATGTAAATTTCCAACGACATTACTAAGAAATACTCTCACTTGGAGTCGAGCATACCATTCATGTAGAACAATTAAAAACAAATGTGCAAATTATGCACGAGAGTTGTTAAATATTTTATAGAATAGTTGGCCTAATATTTCACTTAATTAGAAGAATCTGCACTACCTAGTACCTACACTACTACTTTCCAGGTTATTTATTTATTTATTTATTTTTATCTTTTAAGTAATTGAAAACCAGTCTTTTGGATTGCACATAACCTGTGAACGTTGTTTCTCCTTTAACGTGGCCTTCTGACTTCTCCGATACAGATGAAACACTTCCATATCATAATGTGTAACATAAAACGAGGGTTCGTTTGTTTAAACATTTTTTTAAAGAAAAAAACAAAAAATCGCTTCTTTTAACGAAGTAATCACTTAATAGTAATTTATACATGTTTGAAAACTTTTTTTAAAAAAGAATCAGAAAAAAAAAAAGCAGTTGCAGTAGAAGAAAAAAGATATAAAAAAAAGTGATTTTAATTAATTTTTTTTTTTAATTGTAAACAAACACATCAATTCCTGCTTATTTAAGAATCACCTAAAGCAGTTGCAGTAGAAGAAGGTAAAAAAAAGTGATTTTAATTATTATTTTTAATTGTAAATACATCAATTCCTACTTATTTAAAAATCACTTAAAATAAATCACTTCTTTATAATCACCTTCTTTTTTTTATTGTTTTTAAAGTTTAAATAAACAAACCTGGATCTATATTTGTCAGAGCATACAAAAATCCATCACTAAACGTCAAAACTCCACCTTCCTCAGTCTACAATCAATCATGGTTCATGGATTAGGGAGACAAAATTTGGGTCCACTTCAACCACTTCGCCTTGATTATAGATTAAAGGAGCTTCCAGTTAAAAACTTGAGTTTTTCAATAGCAAAGCAGCAACAATTAATTACTCTTGCTCAAACACCAACAGGGAAAAGGGAATAACAACCAATGCATATTACAAACGAGATTCTCACTATACAATAGAGCAAACAATCAAACGATTTGATGTGTTCCTATGCAATTCATTCTCAATCGTGTTTTCTCTTCCCAGCCATTATGCTTGGGTTACTTATAAAGGGTAGCCGTATCTTTTAATATCTCCTGTGAAGAAGAAGGGGTGTCTCAGTGCTTCCTTAGCTTTAAGCCGTTCTGAAGGGTCATACCTCAGGAGCCCTTGCAACAGGTCAATCAGATCACCAGCAGAATGGTCAACATGCTGCATTATAAGGTTCTGCAGGGGAACATTACAGAAAATATACAGGTAAGGGAAGTATTAATAACATTTCCGGTGCTGCAATGTTGACGGAACAAAACCAAATGTTAGAATATGACAGAATAACAAGTTTATTGTTTACAACAATTAGCACACGTCGCTTCAAAGTAAAATTTGAAGCTATACAAAATACAAAAACTTTTGGTTTTTGAATAACAGCACAATATCAAAGAACTTAAGCTGATCGACCTCAAGTACTTTCACATGCATCTGACCAATTCAGCCTGTTATGCACTGATCTAAACCAAGCAAGCTATATCTACAACATGGTCGTCTTTACAAAAAGAAAGAAGCTACAAAGCATGGTGCAAGAAATGGACATTCAAAACTGTAGCAACTATATGAAAGAGAAATATCAACAGGTCATAGAACTGTATTCTTATAAAAAAAATACACAAGATATAATTGTATTTGTATGAATATGAAAATATAAGCAACTAAAAAGTAGGAAATACCGGCAAACGCGGCAATTTCCAAACTGCTCTCATGCCTTCTCTTGAAGTTGAAGTATCAGGCCAACTTAGTCGTGCACCTCTTTTAAAATACTTTTCAGCTCGACGACTGCACGATCAGGTATTACATGAAAATCCACAGAAAGGACATATTTACTAAAGCAAAGAGAATTCGAAAGCTCTTACTCAGCCCTGACCACCATATGGGGTGGTAGTGGCCCTAGAACTCTCTCCATCATGGCAAGATGTTCCAAGTTCTCATGTGTTTGGAAAAGTGCTTCTCCCTGTTCATATACAATGAATAAGAACACTATAAACACCCTAAAGAGAGAGTATGAATTAATATTGCTCAAGTCACTCGCACAAATCATAAACACGTTTGGTCAGCAGAAGTAATGGCAATAGCAAATGCCATTATGACATATAGCGATAGCACAGACAGTGGCACAATCCATGCATCATATCAAGAATTGCCATGTTTGAAAAACAGCACAAGAACCTGTGGCTCACCATTAAATGCTATAGCCCTTGCTAGGAGGTACTATTAACAACATTGATTCTACCTTTCAATCTTTCATGCAGTAAAGGAAAGTAAATGCTTAGTCTGAGAACTACTTACAGAGCAAAGCTCAACCAGTATGCAGCCCACACTCCAAATATCACAAGGATAGTTCCACCCAAGGCCTACAAGAAAGCAACAAATGGGAAATATAATGAATGAACATGTAGATATGATGAGCAATTGAGCATACATTTCAAGGAGTTACCTAAGATTACTTCTGGCGCACGATAGTGTCTTGTTGACACAACATAACTGTGATCCTGATGTTCAAATGTTGTACTCCCAAAATCAATTAGTTTAATAGCACTTGACTTGGGTAGGTTCTTGAAATAGGAGCCATCTTTTGTGGACCGTGATAGAAACTTAATTGCCAAAGATGAAGAATATGCCAACAAATAAAAAACAGATGTAAAATTTTGATCATTGAGAATTATGAGGAATAAGTGCTTCCTTGCAGAATCTTAGTCCAATATAGAACACAAGTTAATTCTTGCCAATCACTTTTCACGTGAGGAAAAATGCAACTACATGGTCCAAAAGTCAATTACTTACACCCTCTACCAGAACTAACACCTTAGATTGACTAACTGATAAGTGATAGATGAAGTTGAATCAGGATAGTGGGAGAATAATTGGGAAGATGATACCTTATAGTCTGGCACTTTAATGAATTCTGACGAGACAAGAAGAATATTCTCTGGCTTCAAATCAGTGTGAATCAAGCATAAATCATGCATAACTGCAAATATGAGAGATGCAATAAGTGACTTGAAGGTATAAATCTTAATTGACTAATAATATATGATTTATGTCGAAACAATGAAAATTTATTTTGTTTCAAATATCAAAGGATTATATTATCCATAATTAAATGAGTTTTTATATATGCACATCTTAAACACCCAATAGAGGAGCAACAAATATGCATAAAATATATAATTTGATAGTTGGTACAGGATATGTCCACACACATGCTACAGACTCCAAAAGTTGTCTGCCAAGCTCCCGAACAAGATCAATAGGAAAAGAACGATAGCTGTTTTTGCGGAGAAAATCATATAAGCTTGGTCCAAGCTTCTCAAATACCTGTTGAAACCATTTAAATCCATCCGCAAGTTTTTTAACTCACAGAATATTTAAGCATGACTGAATAGACATTCCTGTCATTTAATCAAATTACAAATATCAATAAATACTTACAATACAAATATGATTACGATAGTCAAACCAATTCCGTATTTGCACACAACTGCAAAGAATGAAACCACTTATACCACAATCTCTTTTAGCATCTACAACCAATAAAGGAAGACAACCAGAAAGAACTCTTACCGTGCACCATCAACATCATGTCTGGCTAGCCTCATCAAGACATCAATTTCAGTCATTGCAGCTTCACGATACTTATTTATGGAGCGAACAACCTTAATTGCCACAAATTCTTTCTTTTCATTGTCAAAACATTCCAAAACTTGGCCAAAAGTTCCTGCACAAATTCTTAGACAATCACATTAAGCCAACACACTAAAAATACATATAAAAAGTCCATCGTTGTTAGGGGTATTCACAAGTTGGGTGGATTTCATCAAACCTGTTACCTAAACCTATCATCAAAATAGTTTGGGTTGGATATGTGTAATTTTTCTATCAAATTAAGTATAAACAGAACCAATCTGATCAATAACAAGTTGGTTTGGGTATAAAAAATTATTTTAAAAAATTTCTTACCATTTTCAAATGACATTTTGATGACTTGATAACAGTTGTATTGCGTATGCAGTTTGATTCTTTTTTCTTTCGAACAATTATGTTGTATATGACTTTTATTTTCTTTTTTCAATTCAAATTTTTCTTTAAATATGACAATATGCATTTTGATATTTGTTCACACAAAATAAATCAACTTATTATACTTAAAATACTAATAAAAATCCAACGGCCAATGAATCCCATTATAAGGTTCTTTTTCTCAAACAATAAGCACAATGAGAAATCAACAACCTATGTAATGAACATAATCCAATGTAACAGGCAATTAACCTTTGTCAAATATCATCTAATAGCATTACCCTATAAATAAACAGAAAACTGTGTCATCACATCGCAACAACACAATAAAAGGTTTCGGTTCATGAGTACTCATAACCGTTAACACCCCTAATGGTTGGTTGTGATTTTAATAAAATTAAAAAGAAAATTTTCAATGTTAAAACATCTAGAAAGTGCACAATATTGAAATGACATTGTTGGAAACCAAGCATTACCTACCTTCACCCATTTTACCGAGAATTTTGTCTGCAAACAACAAGAAAACAATTTTAGAGAAGTGTATATATAACATAAGCATATACAGTAATGCATATATTGTCACATAAACTACCCCACACACATTTAACTGTTAGTAACAACCATTCATACTCATGCAACCATTCTAAACAAGTTTAAACAGGGGGAAAATCAAACAAACATCACATTGCGCCCGATGGACTTCAAATGAGGGTGAATCACCTACATCGAGGTGTTAAATTTTCACCGACAGCATAAACATAGTGTCCGTCTTTATCATCAGGCCTCCAGGGGGGTGATCCATTGCGAGGCATTCCCCTATAAAACACGGATGGATAAGCTTGATTTGAAGCTACTCCATTCCCAACCTCCTGTGTGCAATACATTGTAGGAAGAACCTGAAACTGCAACCACTCACAGATTAAACAAAAAAAAAATGTTTCCATCGCTACACGGTACAAACCAAGACAACAACAACCTCATATTCTGTAACTTCATAGTGCTAATAACTCCACATAATTTCACTCTGCCTAAACGTCAATTCAATTTTACTTTATTTTTTTTTTCTTAAAAAAAATAGACTCTTATGGTTGAAATCCGCCAAGCCTGATGATTCCTACTCATATTAATTCAATTCAAATAGAATTCAATTAAGAACAACAAGGCCACTCATGCAAATTATAATTCCACAAACAAATAAGAAATTAGGGGGGAAAGTAAAGATAGTTCGTGTATTGAGAGTGAAAATAAAATGCAATAAAAAAAAACAAAAAATATGCAGAGAAGAAAGAGATAAAAAAAACCTTGGGAGGAGGAAGAGGCGGAGGAGGAGGGGGCATATCCCATGTTAAGCGAGGCTTCTTCCTCGGCCTCTTGTCCATGATCCTATGCGGAAACTCGATAACCCGCTGCGTCTCCATTTATCTGTAGATATAGCTCTCGTCGCGATGCATGGGGGGAATTTTAAATTTTAATTGAATTCGATAGTTCGGATGTTCAACGAAGATCGAAAACGCAGAATTGGGGATATATTTTCTGAATTCGAAACCCTAATGTCGGATCGGATGAGATCTGAGGGTGAAACGGAGCGGTGGAGAAGGAGGAAGATGGAGAGAGAAAGAGGAGGAGCAGAGCTTAACCGTGGTTGATAGATTGAGAACGTTGCTAACCCATGGTTAGGAGGTGGGTCCCACCACAAATTGTTTGTTTTGTTATCTTCATCATCTGCACCCCTCCTACTGAACCCCATGGGTTTGGTTACACTTTATTTTGGTCGAATGGGAGTAGCCTTTCGAGTTGGAAATTGAACTAATGGCTTGTTTTCGTTTGTTCGGCCCAAAACAAAACTTGAAACTATAATAACCATAATTTCATAATGTTATTATTAGTTACTAAAAGTGGAGACTAAATGATGGTTATAAATATTTGTATCTCTTTTATATAATGTTATAAATGATAAAAAAAAATTGCATGTTTTAAGTTAATCAAATTTACGAGCCTTTACTTTGTATTTCATATTTTTAAGTAAATGAAAAAATGTGATTGGAATATGAAAAATAGCCAACTAAATTCTTTACTAATGTAATATATATGTTATGTTATCATTTTATTATGTTACATTATCAATACTAGAGGAATTGAGGCATTTCGTGCCATTAATAATTATATACAGTAAATATATCAAATGGTTGTGTGTAGTTATTCAGAGAAAATATAATTTTTTTTAAAATTTGAAGGGTATAATGGTTCATTAAAAAATTAGAGACTAAAAACGGTTACATATTTCACTATCTCTTTATAATATGTATAGATACATCAATAGTTAATGTATCATATAATCAATTTATATTAATAATCAAAATATCACATCAATATTCGATTAACAATATTAGACAATCAATATTTTTTTATAAATTATAGATATAGTTGTCATAGGGGGGATTTTTACATGTAAACATCTTTTTAAATCTAAATCTTTAGAGAATGACAAGTTCATTTGTCCTTATTTTCTCTCTTTCCCAAGTAATAAGGCTCTTATGCTCATAAGAATAAAAAAAAATATATTATACATCACCGTTAACAAGGAAGACTTAAGTTAGAACACAATGAAGCATAATAACTAAAAGATTAATCATTAATCAGATACCAAAGGAGACTTGGAGACCATTCAAACTTCTTCCTTTACATCCCTCCCAACAGAAAAAAATAAATACCCAAAGGAGACTTGGAGACCATTCAAACTTCTTCCTTTACATCCCTCCAAACAGAAAAAAATAAATAAATGAAAAGTAACAAAGAC